CATGTTGCAGAAGATGTTACGGTCACACTCACCTGGTGGGTCTGAGTGAAGAGGGCAAGCAAGTCTAGAATAGTCAAGCAAACCTCTGTAGCGATATTGGCCTCCGTGTCCACATGGTGTACGATATCTATTTCATTGGAGTTGCCTACAAAATACAAAGTAGAAAATGCATAGATGTCTAAGACAAATCTTTGCATCTTCTTCTATTACAACATAGCTAACGTTCACTGGTGTTTTGATGAGTAATTTATTAAATCAAAGTGCTTTTATTTGTTTAATTTCTTTATTGGCTAAAGAAAAACCACTAGACAGAGCTTTTAGTGAGTGCTATGGACTGAATAATTGAATTCTCCCAAATTCATATGCTGAAGCCCCAATCCCCAATGTGATGGTATTTGCAGGTAGGGTCTTTGAGAGGAAATTAGATTATGAGAGTGGAGGCCTCATGAATGGGATGAGAGCTGAAGACAAGTGCACCCCAGGGAAAATCTGGCCCCCATATAAATGCTTATCTTTATATTGATAATGTGTGGCACGAGGGAGCCTATATATTAGGACATTTGGTCCCATTTACAGTTAACGGTCCTCCTACTCCTTGGACCATCCCTCTTTAACCACTCGGTAAACTTCATGTCTTCCAGGTTACAAAAGTTTCACATTAAGATGATGGCTATGCAAGGATTCTAGCCCATACTGTCCTCTGACTTGCAACAAGAAGCTATCCTGCCCCTAGGTCCCCTAGATTAGGCACTCAGAGACTTTTACTCCCTGACAGACAGGATCAATGCCCCCACTCTGCCCTAAAGCAGCTTCAGAAGATGGAACATTGCCCCTCTGCTTCCCATAAGATTAGGGAGTAAAATATCTGAGAAGGGCATGAGGCTGGCGGGAATGGAGTCATTAAAAGAATGACACAGCAATTAGCATCGAGATGGCAGAAGATTCAACTCCCAGTAGACCTTGAGCTTCAAAATACGCTCATTATAACAGCATGGTGAATGATACTCCCACAGGCACCATGACAGCTCTGAGGCTGACCACAAAGGGTCAAAAAATGGGCAGTGGCCCAGTTCCTGGGGATCCCAGCCTTGTCTCTAAAAGTAGTTGGAAAAATCCTCCCACTTGTTAGCATATGAAGTTACGGAGCCCATAAAAACTAACAACCCCCACACCTCGTGGCCTTTCTCTTGCCTTCTGAGATGGTCCACACTCTGTCTATGGTGTGTGTACCTACTTTTGCTTTAAATACCCCCTCCCATGCCTCGTGGCCTCTCTGGCCTTCTGCGATGGCCTCCACTCAGTCTATGGGATATGTATCTCTCTGAATAAATCTATTGTCACTCAAAAAAAAAAAAAAAAAGAAACACCAGAGATCATCTCTCTTTCCATCATGTGCCGATACAGCAAGAGGATGACCATCTGCGAACCAGGAAGCAGGTTCTCACCAGACATCAGATCTGCTGGTACCTTGATCCTGGACCTCCCAGCCTCCAGAACTATGAGAAATACACGTTGTTTAAGCTATACAACCTATAGTCTCTTATTGTAGCAGGTCGAACTAAGTGTGCTCTTTTCATATGTCAGCTATAGGATTTCCAAAGGACCAAAGTGGTCTGTTTTCCACCATTTCTCACTTCTTTTCCATTGATTCAGCCATTGGCACAGTCACATTTCTTCCATAATTAGTCTGGGTCAAGTTTGGCTCCCAGACTAACAGACCAAATGTTTAGTCTCAGTGGATGATCTGCATAAATGGCCTCCTCAGAAAGGCACTAAGTGTATTGACAGGTTAAGCCATATACCTTCAAACAGCTACCTGTGGTCACGTGTCCATATCGCTAACACTTGCGTGATACAAAACACTGGGTCCCATTTTTGCTTCGTTCACATCTGGAATGTATGCATCATTGGATTCAGGATGGGCATGCTTACTGCTTCTAGGACATGGACAACTTTCTCCTCTTCCCAAAGGGCAGATAGTAATAATCTGGTTGAGAGGGGCCGCCATAACCCTCCCAGAGCCAAAGTCACTTGTTTCCAGAGGAGCCACACCGAACACAGTATATTCAGAGCTTTACTTTTCCCCTTTCCCTCACGAGGACACTGCATTTTTTAAACTGCTCCTTGCTGATTCCCTCCTCTCAGAAATATTCCCCAGGCCACAGCAAGCCTGAAAACCAGGGCTTTCAGTGGCCCGGTGACATTCCTCACATTTCTGAAACACAACTCATTTCGTGTCCTGCACACACCGAGGGAACAATGATAACTGTCTCGTTCCCATTGTTTCTGTTTCACTTACTACTCATGGTATTGTCCAACATCTGTAGGAGTTTGGGGTTAGAAAGTGCATTTTTGCCTCGAATTATCGGTAAAGTTTGTGATCTGTGCTGCTTCTGTCCTTCATGGCTGGAAACGGTGTGCATCCTGAAAATGAAGTAAAAAAAAAATGGTTAAAGTCCTAGGGGATATGATAACCAGATGTTCATTCAAAAATTCTAGATGGAGTCAAGTATTTAAAAACATTTTTGAATAGAGACATTTTATTAAAAATATTAATTACAGGTGACATGATGAGAGGGACTTTTAAAAGCAGTTTTGGAGACATTTTATTTAAGCCAAAAAAGGACTCAGAATGATAATAAGTACTAAAGGGTAACAGACAAATAATAGATAGTGAGTTAAATTCTGCACAAGCATCTTCATTATTATTTAATGAAATCATGGGATTCCACGGATGTTAAATTGGCTATTGGTTGATCAGAAAGGCACAGAGGCAGACATTAAAAAAGCATAAAACTGTATAGTTCAACTGTATCAGTTATTTCTAGGAGGTAAAATGAAATAAGTAAAATCTGGTCTAAAACAATCCTTTGTTTCTTCCTTGTATTTGGAAATTCTTTTGGGATTTGTCATTCCGTCTGTGTCATGCCCAGTGGAGCTGACACAGGATCCTTGTAGGGGGAGGGCTGAGGGGCTCTGAGGTGCTACTTTCCCAGAGCGAGGACAATGGCCCCGGCTTTCATTGGACGCCCCCTTGGCACTTCCAACAGGGGGAATGAGCCAGTGTTGCTGTGGAAGCAGGCATACTTCCTAGTCCTGACTTTCATTTAAGCCGTCATTTGGCCAAGGTATGGAACGTTTCTTTGAAGAAAGGAGGCAAATAGGGGACACCCTGAAGAGTCAAGCCTGAAAAAGAGGCAACAGTTTTCTCTTTGTCTTCCTCCTCAAGGCTTATTTGGTTCTGGCTCAATCAAATGCTCTGGATGGACCAGGGCCCAGGAGATCTGACATTGGCTCTCAGGAGCCGGGCGAGTCTGGGTCATTTCTGTCGCTACAAGGAATAATGAGCTTGGGCTGTACGGCTTGGACCTCCGGGACTGGATTACTTCCAGGTTTTGCGTCTGCTTCAGTCTGTAATTCCTGGAAGAAAAGCCGTGGTTTCTAGGAGGGGAGTTGGGGGGAATTACCGGGACCTGTCCAGATGGTTCAGGGAGGAGCCTGAAATCTAACCCACCAAATATCTCCAAAACTGTAGTGGCCTCAGGTGGGTTACCATCATCATTAAATGTCGAGAAAGTAATTGTTTATAGTCCCCCATTCTACTACCATCTGCAAAAACACAACCATTACATTTTTTTCATTTACTTTCTCATAAGGGGGCAATTTCAAGGGGTTTTCATGGATAAAGAGGCAACATTTATTCTATGATTTATTAGCTATATATTACTTTCATATTTCTTTCTAAAACTATAAAATATAGCCATTTTCATATTATATATTATTATGATATTCCTGGGAGGAGTAAATCAACCTGGAGAACATTTTAGCAAAGAATTCTGATCTACTAGACCCAGAGGAGCTTTAAGGTAGGATTCCAAGGCAAATGTTTCCTGTAGGGTAGGTTAATAAAGGGTGACCCTTGGTTTTATATGCTAGTCACATGAGTCTGATGACTAGGAAATTTAAAGTGAGCTTATGGGCCGGCCATGCTTCCTTCTGTTAGAGCGGGCAGATAGCTAGATACGAGCAGAGAAACGGGGGCACAGATCAAAGGGCAGAAAACCATACATCTTGTGAACAATGGTGGTCCTTGGGCAGAGAGAAGAAAGCAGGAACCTCTGGACTGTAACAAATCACACATTTTGGGGTGACAAGTGTCCTGGAGGCAGGCAAAGGAAGGTAGAAAAAGGCAGGAATCTCCAGTGTCTGAATGTAACCTTTTACTCATTATGCCCTCATTACAATAAAATTAGTCTTGCCAATTAGAAGTACCCATCATGCACTGACGACATGACACTTCCGAGACAGACTAAATAACAAAAATCCCTCCTCCCCTCAAGAAGGTGGAGCTGGGAGGAAAATCAGGGACTATGACCCCAAACCCCTCCCTCCCCAACGAATATTCTGCCCATTCCTTTTTACACATTGTGTAACCAACTTGCCAAAGAAACTCAATGCAGCTGCTCACCTGAGTCTGCCTGTTTTCCCCTTGAAAGCATCCTATCTATAGTTTAATAAATGCTCACTTTACTTTCTTGACCTCCATGTCTCACCTCTGAATTCTCTATACAACCAGACAAAAACCTAATCACAGGAAACCCTTACTGCCTTTGACTCTTTAAAAAACACTTTAAGAACTAAGAATACTGTTAAAATTCTATAATTACTGAACAGAAAGGGGAGACATGACTCCACATTTTACTTTGTCACTAGGAGATTAGCTAACATTAAAATAGGTATTTATTGGAATTGTGTTTTTTCAGGTTCAATGAAATTAAGATATTCATTGACCCTCATTCTATGCAAGGCATTGTGCCCTACGGGCACATAAATAAGGTATAATCCTTGCTTTTTAGGTCTTTACAAACTCATGGGGCAGACAGGGAAGTACCTACTAAGTTTCTTCAGAGAACCAGAGTGTTACTTGAAATCTGTGTTTGGATTGTATGTACCTGTGTGTGGGTAAATAAGTCTGTAGCCACACCACCCCACATATATATACATATATACACATACATGTAAGCACACAATATAATTTTAAATATCAAGCAAATGTAACATTACCATTGTGACAAGTGGCCTGAAGTTTGGCAGGATGGATTTGACGCTTTGAGAGTTCCATTGTTCTGGGTGGACTGCACAAACTTAAACGCAGCAGCAATTTTTCTGCAAGGAAGACTGAGGTTTTAATCATAGCTCAGCGTTTGTAATTTATACGTGAATACAAAACAGCAACTGACAAAGTAATGAAAAATAAAATCACATTTTCTTCTGGAAACAGGAAATTGTGGGTTTAGGGAAGGTGTTGGGGTCACTGTTGTCTCTCATGAGAAAAGGATGCAGCACATTTATTTCAGATTTTTTTTTTTTAGTTTATTGGCAGTATCTTCTTAAATAGGTATCTTCCAAGTTATATTCATATAAAGATAGATAAATTAATTGAGAAGATACATGAAATGTGGTTTCCTTTCTGAAATGTGTGTTTTGTGCTTTTTTTCCCTGGAGAACTTAACTATTCCTAGACTACCGTGGGTATTAATCATCAAACTTTACGTCGAATGTGAAGTCAACCTTACAATCCTTATTTGCTTTTAGGATTTCTAACATAACATCTGTAAGCCCAACAGAATACATTAAATAATATGTCATAACTCTTTTTAAAAGATCAGCCTCATCTTTTGGAATTTAAAATTATTACCTTATTATATTACGTTTTCCCAGGTATCTGAAATTTTGAAGACAAACACTAGAAAGGAAAAAAAAGCCACGTTCTAATTATTCATACTTTTTAATTTACACAATGTGTTCATCTGAGTACATTAAAAGAAAAATATTAAGTTTTCTTTAAGTAGTTTATACATAATCACTGGTAGATACTCCACTACATGACACTCGTAACAAAAACAAAGCATACTAAAATATTTTGAAGATTCTAGAAAAAAGTGTTAATGAATCCATTCTAAAAACTTACTCCAAGATGCTGAAGAAGTCAGACACCTCTGCACTGGGTGCTCTTTGCCAGTACGCAATCAGGGTCTCTGAAAGGAGACACCAAGTAGCGTGAGACTCTTTGAAATCCAAAATTTTTGTCATTTTTAAAAACTTAATGTTAAAGGGCTCTCTTTACCCTCTGAAATTGTTTTCATAATGTGAAGAAAGCACATAAGAAGACTCCTGGTTTCTGCTTGATCTAACTTGTCAAATCGAAGAGTTGAGCCTATCAGAGACAAGGGTCTTGGAATCTAGGAATTAAAGAACCAACAAGGAATGAGTAAGGGAGGGAGACTGCCGACTCACAACGCGCTCAGTAAGTCGGGGAGGGAAGTCGTACCTTCTCACAGTTGTCAGTCTTCTCACTGCTCTTCTCAGTGGTACTTGGGTTGGAGTCAAGACTTGCTAAGGAAGCTCTGGAATCAGCATGGTTTACTGTAGAAATAGCTATTGATGAAAATGCTGTAAACACAAGCCACAGCACACGGATGACAATGAGATGTATGAGCACACACACACACACAAAGCTAAAACGACGAACCAAAAAAGGTGCTGATCATTCAGGTGGTAGCAGTTCTTGTGAAAAGTTGACATAATAGAGTCTGGGATTGCCATTAAAGATATGCAACTCTTAAAATACTGTTCTAACAGCCATGCCAGCATTAAGGATTTAGGAAAATTTAGACCATTATAAGTGGAAATAAAGCTTATTCTTTTGATTTCTTAAAAAGCTTTTCAAAGAAAGTATTCTGTTTGAAAATGCTTAATAAAAGTTCCTAAGAATGCTTTTGGGGAAGAAGCTTTCAATTTTTGACAGTTTATAAGAAATTGAGATGACATTTCTGTAATAGTTCTTAAAAATCATCTTTGAAGTTGAAGGGTTATTGTATTTTAAAAGGCTGTATGCAATGAAAACTTCAAGATTGTTTCCAGGATGGAACAGTTTGATAACATCTGAGTAGACTGCTCCTTGATCCAAGTAAAAATGAACACTAAGTAGATGAGGAAGTTGCTGGATGGCATTCAAAGAAATATTTAACAAGACTTGTCAGCGTTACAAATGTCATATACTTTACACATAAATTCTGTGTAATGCATTATAGAGTGGGTAAAAAGCACAGTGATATACAGTGTAAACATGGATGAGTGTTAAACACAAGTGTCTGGAAGGTCTGAAGTACCTGCTATGGAATTTAAAACATCTTTAGAAAATGACGTATCCACAGAGTTTGCATGTTTCATAGTTGACTGCGTGTGGAATCCTCCATTGGTGCTGAGGTCATCTCTAGACCCCTGTACTCAAAGCACAGAAGAGATCAGTGGGAATCATATTTCAACACTGTAGACGCACACACACCTTCTTCATTAACACTTTCAATGAGATGATCTGTGATCTGATCTTTTATATTTTAGCAAAGATTTTCTGCTGAAGTAGGCAGTGAAAATGGAAACTGTCCAACCAAACTTGTAGTCACAATTTGATTTCTTACATGATTTTCAACTTCTTAAGAAATTTTTTAATAATGTGGTGGAAACTGTCTTTTACTTACAGATCAAATGGCTGAAGTGGCTATTGATATATTCATGGATTATACTGTAGATTATATATTATTACCATCATAGGTTACTTTATGCATATTAATCTATTCTAAAAACTAGATTGTTTAAGTGTTTACTATGTGCCAGTCTCTATGATGAGTGTTTTCTATTACACAATTTAACCTTTGTAAGAATCCTCTGATGGAGAGATTCTGTCCCGTTTTATAAATGAGGAAATGGAGGCATGAAGAGGTTGGATAACTTATCTAAGGTCACATAGATAGTAACTAATACTGTTGGGATTTGAACAAGGTTCCCCCACACCCTAGAATTCCAAAGGCATAGCTCCGAATTTTTAGATGGTAGTATCTTGCATAATTTCTTGATTCAGCAGTGTGGCAACTCATCTGGGATATGAACATAAGCAACAGATCTCAAGTGGGTTGCTGGGCAGTCATTCTGATGGCTCAACGAAGGAAGGATGACAAAACAGGCCATCCTGGGCTGTGACCGTGAATAAGGCACTTGGCTCAACAGACACCAGGTGGGCCTGAAGCCAATGCAGAAAGGTGGTGGGAAAAGGTGTACACTGAGGATGGGGCCATGAATGCAACAGAGGAACCTCGTACAAACTGGAAAGAACTGGAAGGCAACGTAGAGAACAGAGGAAAATGGAAACAAAACACTGAAGAGATGGGACTAGGTGGAAGGCATCAGAGACCAATACAGAAAAAAAAAATGACACTATGCAAACATTTCAAAATACCTCGCAAGAAGCGCTGCCTAATCCTTAGTTAGCTCACAGTCGGGGGAAAACTGTTATCCATGGCAAAAATATAGAAAGGGCAAACTCTTTATTAAATAGGCACTTGGAATATTATGTGAACATACCTGATTCGACGTATTGATGGTAAAAGGATACAGGTCCTTCAGGTAGATCCTTGGCATATTGTCCAGAAGCATGCCATAGAGAGGCATGTATAAACCTGCTATCTGGGCCTGCTTTCCCTGGGTGGGAAAGTAGCCAAAAGAAATGATTCACATAAAAATCAATAGACTCGTAGGCTTGATATGCGTTTAATGCAGTGAACCAATAAACGGTGTTCAGGGACAGGAGAGGGAAGACCACTTACTGGTTCTCTGTATCGATCATCAAATGAGTGCTTAGCCATTAGGTTTTTGAGGACAGCTAAAGCTAAGTGTCTGATATCTTGGTCTTCTTGCAAAGCAAAGCCGACTTCTCGGAGCAGAATTCCGATTAAGAAGTGTTTGCGGCAAAATTCATTCGTGACTGAATATTCAGGCATATCTTTGCGAGGAACGTAAAGAGGTCATGTTATTGAAAGTCCAAGGATGACTTGATAACCGAGAGATACATTTTAGCAAGCAACCCTCCACCCTCTCACTCCTAGGAGGAATTCAGTAACACAGTCTTGCTACTGAGGTGAGAATCGTGAAGAGGAACATTCAGGAAGTATTCTCTGTGTTTATGAATCCAAATAGTATTCAGTGACAGTTGTTCAATTCCATACAAGTGGCATGTCTGCAGTATTACAGGAGTCCAGAAGAGAACAACTTATTTTGTGTCTGGAGGAGTCAGGAGATGAAGGACTGTGTTGAGATGGGCATTTGAAGGATGCTTAAGGTTTGAAGATGCGGAGAGTTGGGGGAGCAGCCGAAGGCAGTGGAGGCAGGGATGGGGGAGAGGATGTTGAGAGGAGAATGGATGGAGTTTTGACGGCACAGATTTCTGAAAGCACAGGTATGTGGGGAGCACAGGTGGTAGGAAAGACCAGTAAGGTCAGCAACCGGAAGAGGAGTGGTGAGAATTAAGACTTGAGAAGAGAATGTCGCTAGACGGTGGAGAAACCCAAGTACAAATTCCTTAGCTGGCGTTTAGGTCCCTCCAGCTTTTGCACTTATTTCTGTAGGGAATGTGAACTCACTGACAGCTTTGAGATCAGTGGCCCCATCAGATCTGTACTTTTTAATTAATTAATATGAGAGGCTCAGAATGAATTGGACTGTAGGGAGATGTGGGGTGACGGCTACAGTCCAGGAGGCTGGAGCAATGGGGGAGAGGGGAGGTGAGATGGTGTCTGGACCTGGGGAAGTGGGACCCAAGTAGCAGAAGTAAAATCACCAAGACAAGCGAGCTGCAGGATGTGAAAGAGCAAAGAGAGAGGAAAACCAATGGGGGCGGCATAATTCTGAGTCTGAACTATAGAGAAAGGAAACTCAGATTTCCAGTAATAACACTTTTCTTTTTTTTCAGAATTGTCCAGTGGGCTTCCTAAAGGTGACTGTTCATAACAAGACTAGTGCCCACCTGTGGAACCCAGATTGCGGGCCAACGCTCAGCTAAGCACCTGACAAGCAGTGTCCCCTTCAATCCTCAGGACGACCCATTAGGAATAACGACCTACTGGAATATTCCAGGTCCTAACTGACCAGGAGCAAATTAAATGTATTCATTTTTTTTTAAGTCCATGAAGATGCCGAAGGTGAAAGTACAGAGAATGAGGAAGGTCAGGAAACTAAGATCAAAGGGCTTAGTGAGGTTAAATAAACTTTTCCATGAGCTAGTAAGTCATAGAGAGGAACGAGAAAGAGAACAGAACTTAAATTCCCAACCTAAGGTTAGAAAAAAAAGTGTGCCCAGACTATTTTAAGTTGTGTACTTGTTTCAGGTAAAAATAAACTGATATGATTTTAATCATCTCAACCTTGAGAAAACAGCCCAACCAGGCTGTGATATATTGACACTGTGTAAGCCAGATGTAGATTGTGGTATATATATTCATGTGTCATATAAAACTAGCTATGTTGAACAAGTAGTTATTACATATGTCTGGGAATTTTATTTATGATACATTCCAAGAAAATTTCAGATGCTTTGGGAAATTAAAATAATTTCAAGCTCTGGAGAATAAAGTATGAAAGAATTCAAGTTGGGGAAGCATTTAATTATCAAGCTGGAAAAGTATTTAATTATCTGTTACCAGAGAAAAGTTCAGTCAACTTCTTGACTATTTTGCCTAGATGCTATTAAATATGTGGCTATTTATTAGCATCTGGAAATTGGAAATTTGAAGTATGTGTACTCATTAACATTATCAAATTATGAAATAATGTAATATAAAATATTATTTACCTGATGCATGTAACTCTTGTATTGATTCTGAAGGTGTCAAAGGATCTGGATTTGATACAAATAAACAAAAGTTCAGATAAATACATACTCAGATACTATATTCATTAACTATGTATAATTTATACTGAAAAATTAAAATATACTGTCTTAAGATATGAGTCCCTTCAATAAAGCTTTGTTTTTCAAGACAAGTACCTTAAGTTGCTTACTTCTTTCCTGAAAAAAAAATGCTATGAACAGAATTGTTTTAATTCTCAGCCTCTTCTTGAGCACCAATTTTTCTATCAGAAATCTGCTTGTTATGAAACACATATTTTTATATTCACTGTTGATAATATCAGATCTAGAAACAGGCTATCAGGCTTTCTTCTGACCTACTGACAAATAGTAAAAGACTAGAATTCAAATGACAAAAACAGGTTTGATTCTCTTGCGTGTCTTAACCAGCCTGTCTAATCCAGCAGTAACTTGGCACTAGTTCATAAACATTACACAAAACAAGAAGCTAAAAATATTGTGGCCCAAAACAACTTTCCTACCGTTTATTCTATGAAGGCATTTAGTTTAATGTATTTAATAAATTAGGAAAATAATGGAATAATGTATACAGCTTATATTTAAGATTAACATGACAAAACTTTCATAGGCTTAGTAACATACGTACTCTCTTTTTCCCTCGAAAATATTAGTGCAAGTTATAATACAGATGGAGATGCTCTTTACCATCTTAGTTCTGCTTTCCATGAAAATCAAAAGTATATCTTGTAATTTACTCACTTCTTAGAAGTATTTAATGAATTTATTTACAAGTTTATTTGTCTTATTGAGGTATAACTGACATATAGCATTATATTAGTTTCAGCTGTATAACATGACTCAACATTTGATTACATTGCAAAATAGAGGTAAAGTATTTTAAGTTCCTAAATCACTTAAGTGTTTTCTTTGCATCTTGATGTCTGATTAATTTCTGATGTTTAGATGAATGATGCTCATTCTCTACTATGATTCTCCTGGTATATGTGTGTGTACATATATATAATATATATGTATACCAGTATATATATAATATATAGTCTATGTGTATATATATATTTTAACAAAAGTAATAAATGAGTATATCATCTATAGACCATGTATGCTATAGTAGGTATAGTAAACAAAATGTGAAGCCCCGGTTTTACCTGCACATCTATCTCTTTCTGACCCAGAGTATCAAGTATTTACAATGTTGCCCACCTGCCTGCCTTCCTTCCTCTCTTTCAAGGTAACAGTCTTCCTTGTATAAATCTCATTTTGAGGAATTGCATTTTAACGTGCACACGTTGATTGAAAATTTTAAATGAATTCATACTCACAGAGTATAACTCTTTCTCCCTGTAATTTTTTTGTCTCTCAAAATCAAAGGGAAGTTGTCTTTTGGAGCCAGCATGGTGAGAGACAGTGTGGCTATAGGTTAAAATTCTTTGATTTGTAAGCATCAATTTTGTGGTTATGTTGACCTTCTCTTTAATGAAAAAGGAAACATAGACAAAAATTGAGAAATACAGCTCTGTATTCTGGACCACATGCTACCAACTTCTTCTGCACTTTAAGCTGATGACCTGGGTCTAATGTCCATGTGACAACTTCAGACAAAATCAAGACCGAGGAAACAGGAAAACAGCAGCGAACAAAGACAAAACAAGCAAACAAACAGAAGTGTTTACTCTGTAGGAGCTGATAACAACTCTGGGATTTATTACCTGGAATGTTTGCTGATCTTAGGGGGAGACACAAAGGAATAAAGTGTTCATGCTGACATACTTCCTGAAGAAAATCAAATTTATACTGGCATAAAGTCTGAAAAAGAGGTAAACAAATGACTGTTATTTACACACTAAGAAAGTTAATATAATATCTACACTTGAATCTTCTATCTACGAAGGAGATGGAGTTAATTCTGTGTGACCACCAGGTAATTGTTCAGTTTAAAGGATTTTGTCCCCTCTCAAGTGGTAAACGCAGCCAGGCTCCTTATTTTTGGAGATTGGTCAAGGTTTCTTCAGGAAGTGATCCCATTTGTATCCTACACTGAACTTCCAGGGGATACGATCTTAGTCATACTTTTTATTATTTTAGCTTTGATCACAACATTTATTCTGAGAAAGATGCTGCCTCACTGCATATGCAGAACTCTACAATCACATTCAGCTCAAAGGACAGGTCGCTTTAACTCCTGGGACTCAGAAGGTAAGACCGCAGATAATCGAAAATTAGAGTCTCTCTCATTTATTCTAGGGTACGCTATTTAAGTCCACCTCTTCCCTGCCCTTGCAAACAAGTCTGTCTTTTCAGTAATGCTTTGATTAGGACAGTGATAAATGGAGTGCAGACATGGGCTAAGACAACTTAATACACGTCTTAAAAACAACCACATAAATAGGAGCAATCAGCGTGCTCATAACCATTCTATCTCATTGTCATGCAAACTAAGTAATCAATTTTTTAAGGCTCAGACAATTGTGTTCATGATATTCACTAATATCAGCTAACAAAATCAAATACATTCTCTTTGCTCAGATATTTTAGAATTTTGTGGCAACTTGAGTCAATAATTTAAGATACTGCCATCTCAAACAAGGTAGTATATGACAATGCTTTGTACATCAAAGAGAACAGGAACATAATGGAATTACATGTTAACGTTTCTTCATTGCGTACATTCTGTTCAGTCTTTGCAAAAAAAATGTATAATTTAGGCCTGCTGGAAGTATTCCTAAAAGGATATTCTGCAAATTTCATGCATAATTGGAGGACTAATGAAGAATGTCTTTCAAAAGCTGTTTACAGAGAGAATTGGATTCTCAAACCCAAATGACATATAATCACGGAACTTTCAGAGCCTAAAGTAAATCTCCTCTGCCAAAAAGTAACGTGCAGGCTCCTAAGGATAACATGAAAGGCTCTAAGAAGATCATTATTTATTTTTGGCTTTTCCATATTCATTACTTTTTCCTAATATCTTGATAATTTCACCTTGGGGACTTATCTTCCAATGGGTAGAGGTTAACGGGGAATTAGTACTTCAGGTGCCCTGTCTTCCCTACCCTAGAGGCAGGCATGTGACCCAAAGCAGGTTGGTCACATGTTCTTTTCTGGAAAATAAATCTTAGCAGAGTGTTAAGAAGAGAAAAATGGTCCCGTTTGACTATTTAAGCAGCGGTGGACCTTGGCCACTGGTCCCTCCTTTGGGATTACTCTTGTGCCCCGGAAGTGCCTTGCTACCTGCTCTTTTCCAAGCCTCACTCTCCAGCAATTTTATCAATGCTATTTACTCCCAGTACCCTTCCAATAAATTCCCTTGTGCTTACACTGGAGTTTCTGTTGCTTGCAACGCAAAGAAGCTTGACTGATGTAACGTTCATGATCTGGCCTATTTCCCGTCTTATTTCCCTCTATTATGTAGCTCAGTGGCTCTCAAACTTGAGAGGGCAGAGGAATCATCTGAAAGTCTGGCTGCAGTACAGATTTCTGGGCCCCGCCTATGGCATCTCAGTTCTGAGATCACTGGGTGAGGAACACAATCTGAGAAGCACTACTCTCTAGACAGTACTGTTGCCTGTCTCCCAGCACATATTCCCCAGTTAGGTAGGGTGGGCAAATGTCCTATTTTGCCCAGGACGGAGAGTTTCCAGGGAAAGGGGACTTTCACTGCTAAAACCAAGACAGTCCTGAGCAAACCTGAGGCACCAGGATTGCAACTGGAAAGATTTTCACTGCCCGGAGGAAAGGAAGTAACATGTAAAGACTTTCATGCCACACCCTTTGGTCCCCCATGAAGCAGACTTACTAAGCAGATGAACCATTTTAAAAGGCTGCCTCTCATTGGTATAGAAATTATTTTTTGATACGGAGAATGGATAGGTTATTGTCTTAGATGGATACACGCTGGGACCAGTTTATTTATTCATAATGTAACAGTTTAGAAAGCTCTCTCTCCTGCACGTGGTCCTTACCTTGGGATCACCTGAGGAGAACATGCTGATGTAATTGTTAATCATCTTAAACACAAAACCCCGGTCCATAAACGTAAAGCAGCGCTAAAAAAAAAAAATTCTAAATTCAGACATTTTTACTCTAAGGATCATTAACGTTATTAGAAAACATGATTAAGTATATTGATGGAAAATACCATGTAACTCAATGTGCTGTATAATAAATGTTTTAAAAATCTCTACAATATGTTTAAGCAGTCATCCACATATGGCAACTAATTAAAATACTGGATACCAGGAAGTTACAAACCCATACTTATCAATTTTATAAAACATCTCTTGGAGGTTTGCGATGAAATATTACAGTCCTTTCCTTTTAATATAGAAAGTTTTGGTTTTTACTTGTCCATTTTTTAAAACCACTTAGTTACATGTTACTATTGTTTTTTAGTAATTTGATTCCATAGTTCCTCAGGTGAACATGCTTTGCTGTACAACATTGGGTAGGAACAGGAGTGGCAGAGACAGGTTAGGAAAACCTTTTAAATCTCACTGGCCTCCTTCAACAGACTAGCTTTTCAGCCAAATTTGAAGAGTGAAGGTAAGAGAGCCCGAGATTTCCATCAGTGAGCTGCTTTTTGGTTGTCTCTCTTATTCTTTCGTCAAACTTTCTTAACTGTAAATAAGGAGAGTCAGACAGTAGAGAGGTTTGGAGGAGTCAGGCAAGTCTTCCAAGTCGGCACAGTGTCTCTGGGAGGCTGATGGCCACTTAAACAGTAGCCAAGCTACAGCGGCCAATTACTGCACTAGACGAGTGTGAAGTAGGCACGGACCGTATTCACTGATGCAGTATCTTGGGGAAGCACAATGGCAGATTGGCACATGGGGTCATTACTGCGTGTGCGAGTTTCACTCCATCCATCCACATGTGAGTGAGCATGCATACTACACGGGGAACTGTCTCAGCTGCCACACCACTCGGTATGGAAGGCTTCTTTCTTGTCCAAAGAGTCCAGTGTGATCCACTATAATGGTTTTGCATTTCTTAATCTCTCCTCAACATTACAAACAAACCTCTTTTCTCACAAAGGACTGGACATAAAATCTTGTTATAGGTACCAAGGTATAAAATCTTGGTGTAGGTACAGCAAGTGGGAAGTCTCCCACCGAAATACACCTGTGTAGAAACAAGAGCTGTCTTCTCTAACAACGTTCTTCCAGTTGTTAGGTCACTTACGTATTTGTTGTGTTTTCCCTTTTCATTTGTCTTTGTTTTCTTCTGAGTTTTTTTCATGTACCTGTTCATAGTTGCATTAACGTACTGCTTCATTCATATTTTCATTTTTTATTATGAATTTAAGTTCTTTCAGTGACTCTCTGATAAACAGTAAATGGCCCCCGTGTCCCCCCACCTCCCAGTAGAACAGTGAGGAGAGGTAGACATCAGGGCATAATCATAGGCTCGGAAGATGTAGCCATAACTGGGGGAGGGGAGGAAAAGAGGGCTTTCGTGTCTTCAGCACTAGGCACGAGAATTCCCAGCAGAGAGGGCCTGGGAGCGTCGGATCTTCCCCATCTGGTGGCCTTGGGATGTCCCCAATGTGGAGCTCTCTCCCCAGGAGACCTTTGTGGTCTCCTTCCTGCTGGAAAGAGGAGGAAGACCAACTTGTGCACATGTGGGCTCTAGAAACTTCTCAAGAAAGAGCTGGAGAAGAGAAGCCCAGGGGAGGTCTTTGGTGAAGACACAGCCCTCTGGTTAGGTGGCGGAAGGGGTTAGTAAGTCCGGTCACTGAACCAGAGCTGTGGCTTTTGCCATCTCCTCGGGGCTACTGTGGCTACTCTGTGAGTTTTTGAAGGAGATCAAATTCCATCACCCATGGATGGGGAAAATGGGGAGCAGGCTGCCTGCCCTGGGGATTGAGGAAAACTCACTTAGAGTTTCTTGAGATTTAAGAAGACTTTCTATGTGGTAAACTTGTCATCTTCTTTCAAAGCAGCACTGAGGGAAAAGGGGGGTCATTACTAAGATACAACCTCAGTGCAATCAGCCTTCTTCCTGCAGAGGGCCCTCCTGCCGGTCAAGCTGCATCAAATATGCTTATCCCGTCATCGGTCCCCTGTGTCTGGTGCCCCCCAGCATCTTAACCCCAGGCTCAGAGGCTCTTCTGCTCATTGCTGAGGACTGGAGGGGCTTCTCTGCTTCTGCTTTAAAATAATGTGTATTAATCTTCTATATCAGCAGGAAATAATTTATAGCAGGTTTTGGTAAACTATCGCCCACGAGCCAAAACTGGTGCAATGTTTTTGTAAATAGAGTTTTATTAGGACACAGTCACACCCATTTGTTTACGTATTGTCCGTGGTGAATGGTCTATGGCTGTTTCTGCGCTAGCAGAGTTGAGGAGTTGTGACAGAGACTGCAGGTCCTGCAAAGCTAAAAATATCTGATATTTGGCCATTTACAGAAAAAAATTTGCAGACTCCTGATCTAAAGAATAACTTATACTCTACCAGACTCTTTAATAAACTAAAAGCCACGTATTCTAAATTACATGCAAAAGTATACTGTTGTACTGAAAAAGTAGTATTTTGTTTTACCAACTGTGAGAACCAATGAGAACTTTACTCTGTGGGTTGTTCAGTGATGAATTATGAGATCTCAAATTGCACAACACAGCACACAAATGCCTTTTCCCTACATACTTTACAAAACCACTGGGCCCATCATTCCTTCTTCATCTGGACACTTGCCTTTGCCCTGTACTACGTATTAGCTTAGGTACCACATGCAGCAACTTCTGTATACATGAGGTTTATAGAAAACATCTATTTGTTCCAAAAACATAGAGTATTTAACTGAAACAGAGTAGATATGAAGATAAGTTCTCCTTTCAGGGACTAACTTATCCTTCTTTTTTGGGGACATGTAGAGAGAAACATCACAGATGTTTCTTTGAACAGATTTTGCTACCAAAGGCTGTCTTTTATGTTAGGTGATTTCCAAATAGTTTCCAAAAGCCAATTGAAATAGAGTAGTGATTAGTCAGACAAGTGGGTAAAAAGATAAGGCTGTCTGAGAAGGAAAAGTAAAATCAGAATGAACTTTCCTTTGCTACCTCCTTGGTATTATGCTTGCCGAAGAAGAGTCTCTAGACAGGTGTGCCCAGGTAAGTTAGAGCTGTGACCCAGGTGGGTGGCAAACAGAAAAATTACAGAAGCTACAGAGGTAGTCATGAGTCTCTTTGCATTCTATCCACTTCTGGGAGAAAATAGTCAGAAATGGACAAGGTTTTGGGCGTAACTGTTGTAAAAATATTACTTTCTTATGAGGTGATGTAAAGGACGGCACATTCTCACCTAGGTCATTTTTATATGGCTCTCTCCATTCTTGGAAAACAATCTTGGTACAACTATGGTGTTATATATATTGATTATTAAATTCAAGTGACAACTAATTTACAGTATTTGATGACTGATGTAGAACTCAATAACCAAAACAGATAAAAGTTATTTAAAGCCTCAGTTGAACGAATAACTATTATCAGATCTCTGGAAAGACAGAGGACGTGTAATGTCAATGGTGGGCACTGTTGAGCAGCTGAGTGCTCAAAGTCCATCAGTTCACAGGCATTCGCCAAATGACGACATTCAATTTTACATTAAAAAAAAAATCACTTTCTCTCCCTGTCCCTTTTTCTCTCCTAGTTCAAATGATTCGTCTAACAAACTTCACAGAAAGCTTTTTTTTTTTTAAGTTTTCTGG